AAGGAACCCAGGCCTGGGTTCCTTCGAACCCAACACGCCAGGATTCAATGGAACTCAGGCATGAGTTCCTCGAACCCAAGCCCTGGGTTCCTTCGAAGGAACCCAGCACCTGGGTTCGAGGAACCCAAGCCCTGGGTTCCTTCGAAGGAACCCAGCACCTAGGTTCGAGGAACCCAAGCGTTGGTGCTGGGTTCCTCCCAATAGGGAGGGGAAGGAAAAAAGGAAAGAAAAGGAGAAAAAAAGAAGGAAAGGAAAGAAAAAAAGAAAGAAAGGAAATTTTTATTTATTAAATTATATTTTTGATGCCAAGTCATAATATTTTTATAATTAAAAATGCCACATCACTTATTTTATTTCCAAGTAATATTCAATATTAATAAAAATTAAATTTGTTAACGGAGAATTTTGCCATGTCAACACTTAACTAATAGAAGGATAAATTTGGTTTTAAAAATTGAAGTTTAAGGATTTTTTTAGTACTTTTTGAAATTCGAGGGTAAATTTAGTTCAAAAATGAAAGTTGAGGGATTAAACCGGGGATTTAACCAAAAGGAAATATCAATAAATGGTTAAAAAATTGCAATTTACCATTTTTACTAAGTGAATAATATAATGAGTGATGATGTGATTGGTAAGTAAGTTTATTGAGTTAATAATGATGCAATTCTTTATAAATTATTTAGTCATAATCGAATTAAAAAAAAAAAAAACTAATCTTAAAGTGTGGCTTCTAGAGAGAAGTTATTGAACTCAATTTATGTCCCGTTCTCCAGTTCTCTCCTTCTCCAATAATTACACAAGTTCGAAACAATTACGGAAGGTAACAATTTGAAGCTAAGATTTTGACAATTGGCAACCGAAAAACGTGGAAACAAGCTCTCATAGTCTCATCCTCAAACAAATTCTCCAATCAGTACAGATCCTTTTACAAAAAACATAGCATCAGTGTGCCCCACACAACACCGACATAAGATATTATGATTTAAAAAAGATTAAAAAAAAAATCATTGAATGGATCATCGATACTAAATTTTGACTTTGAATTTACTTTTCATTTATCATTATTAAAAAAAAAAAGAAAAAAAAAGAGGTGCACCAGAGTAAACCCAACTAACCCACCCGTTTGCGGCCTCCATACCGCCGCCTTATTTCCTACTCAGATAGAGTGTGGGCCACGCCGGAAAACCGAACCCAACAGACTCCACTCTACAAACCTCTTAACTACCAGCCTATTCTGAATACACCTGACATGACTCATAGCAATTGCTGCGCTGACTGGCGCCAACGCCGTCCCTGGTCGGACTTCCCATATTTAATATTTGGAGGCCACAGGTTTCGCGTCCCACCAACAACAACCATCCACGAAGCACATTAGTGGGTAGCATCTCTGGTGTTAACTTGTCTCTCCGCCCTTCCCACGTTCTTTCATTCCCTTTGACTGTTACCTTACAACGTCACTGTCGTATATTACACGCTTCAAATCCCGCCCCCGTCTATCTGGGTCATGTCTGGGTTGGGGAATTTAAAATAGTATTTTGTAATCAATTTTATTTGACCTAATGTTCAAGTTTTAAT